GCGTGTCAAAGACATGGTGTGGACGCAAGCTGCGCTACTACCCTGGGAGCATCAGGAAAATGACTGTGCGTTCTCGCCGAAATTCTTTGAAATCCCAAACCCCAAGGCAAGCTTCCCATAGTTGCTGCGCAGGTGCGATACCCGCATCATCTGGAGATGTTGGATCTGCATCGGCGTCCTTGGCTACAGCACGGGGATCTGGAGTTGTTGGGCCCAAAAGTTTTGGATCCGGTTGAAGCCCGACCCTACTACGAACCGTTAGCTAGCCTTATCTCTATAAACCCTGTATCCCCTATAATATCGATAATGGGTATAATTATCAGCCTGCACTTATCCTACCCGTTGGTTTTATGGCCCTGAAGGTTTCAGACAGGCTCCTATGCAACATTGTTTCTGGCTTCATCGATGAATGCAGAGCGGCTGACCCGGACATAGCCGACACCCTTCAATCCTCAAAGCTTCTGAAAAAGTTGAGTAAGGCGTCGAAAACTAAACACGAAAATACAGCGGGCAGAGCGTTTGAGGCTGCAGGCTTGGCGGCCCCAGTCGAAATTCAGATGGTTGATGTTGGGGCCAAGTTTCAACATCCGATCCTCAAGGTGACCAACTTCCTACAAGCTTTCGCGCAACATCAGAAGTTGCCTTTGTTATGGGGGAGCAAAACATATTCTTCGCGAACTGAAATCCTGCCAAAATTCTGGAGGCGCTTCAAAGCCCATGATCCGCAGCATCCAGTTTTTCAGACACACCGAAAGCGATTAGACCAGGTGCTGCCATTGCAGATCCATGCGGATGAAGGCCAAACTCTCAAGAAGACTGGAGTCATGGTGATCAATTGGCAGTCGCCACTAGGCTTTGGAACCTCCATGCAAGATGACTGCCCAGAAGCTATGGGTCTCAACTATATTGGGAACTCATATTCTACGCGGTTCTTATTCACAGTTTGCACCAAAAAGACCTACCGGAAAAAGAATGCCTTCGTACTTGATCGCATCTTCGAAATCTTGGTGGATGAGCTACATAGCCTGTTCCATGAAGGTGTCTGTCTAACAATTGCTGGTCAGGAGATGCGGTTCTTCATAGCTACCATTGGAATGAAGGGCGATTGGCCGATTCATGCTCGTGTTGGTCATCTTACTCGACACTTTGCGCGTAAAGGTGTGTACCAGGAGTCTGCTACAAGTGGGTTTTGCCATCTTTGCCGAGCTGGGGAAATCAATTATCCTGCTTTTGACTTCAGTGCTGGGGCGGCCTGGCGAAGCTCATATCTTACATCCATCCCATGGACTGATGAAGGTCCCTTATGCAAGGTGCCGCAATCCCCACGGAAGGAGTTCATGCACAAGTTCGACTGCTTTCATA